CTCTCTAGTCCTGTACTTTCTAATAAATTATGTATTCATCTATCTTTTGCTTTTTGTCCAAGCTATGTATTTCGTATACCTGACTTGGTCACAAAAGGAGAAATCCACATTTTTTAGGATACTGATGCCTGGATCCATGAGTACTCTGAATTTCCTAAAGAGTCTTTAAAAAGTTGACCTCTAGAAAGCATCTATAAAACCTTTACTTGCTAAATAAAAGCATTTGAAAATGAACAATTTAACAAATGAAATATAAATTAAAGGAATGATTAAAATAATTCAAGTTATTCAGTTAACTTGTCTTAAAGGATTTCCTAAATGAGACAGTTAAGATGGGCACTTTAAAAAAATCCTAAGAAAGGTTACAGAAGTTGACAAAAATCTAGAATTTTATATTCAGAAAAAACTACACTGGCAATTAAAGTTTTGAAATTACATATTCTTAAGACAAGTTTTATTGACTGTAGGCTAGAATATATAAAAATCAGATTCACCAATTTTGGATAATTAAAAGAACAACTGACTTGATAAAGTCCTCCAATATGTATGCTGAAGTAACAATTTATAAATTTCATTAAATTAATTTCTTGCCTTTACAGTTTGCAAAATGATAAAATCATCTCATTGAAAATAGCTACTCAAGTCTGAATTACTATTATTTATAAAACAAGTCTTTTGGATGCAAATAGTCAACTTTCTTCATTCTCCACCTGTCTCTGTATAAACATATCCTTTCCTCCTTAAAAAAAACTCAATTGCTCTACCATGTTAAAGACATCTATGGAGTTTGGGAAACAGTAATGCAGACCTGGGGGTGCTTGAGCACTGTCAAATGGGGCTCTGGAGGCCCCCAAAGCAGTACTTGGGGTGAGCCAGTATCCCCGGATCCATGAGGCCTGAGAAACACTGAATCTTCCAGCTCTTATACTGAACTGTGGACAAGCTGGTTGGCTCCAGGGCCTCCTGAGCACTGCTTGGTAGGTCCAATACTCAGGGAAGACATCAAAGATATATTTCTTCTAGGGGCTTGAAGCTCACATGATATATTCAAAACAGAATTGACTGGAGGTACATCTACCTATCTGTGTAAAGAAACTTAAGTCATAGTTTTTTTTTAACTATACAATTTCATCATGGATTAGTTTAATGATGGTCTATAGGCTTCCTCTAATCAGAACTTCATACATCTTAAAATAGATAATGTAAAATATGGAAATATAAAATAAATCTCTCCAAGAAGTTTTTATAAGAATATAATTTTTACACATTACTCATAAATTACTCAATCTGTATTAATATACAGAAAATTATTTCACATTAAAGGTGTAGAGGTTTATAAGTCATTATCTGAAATTTAGGTTACAATAAGTTCTTTAAAGGAAAAAATGAAAAAGAAACAGCAATTTGACCAAAAGCTATAAAACTAAAGCAATGAACACCAGTCTTAAGAAATGTTTACAGATATCACAAATCCGATCACCCCAAACATTTTATTAATAGAAGTAAATTAGTAAAGCCAAGCATTGCTTTATAATTTTACTGCTTTTTATAGTTCACTAAATTTGGAATACTCAATTGAATTCTTAAGCAGAATCCTAGCATTTCAGTTTAAGTAGAATAACAATATGCAGATTGCTCTACATTACATACATTTCTACTGTTATACATCTATATTTATCCCAGGGTCTTTATCCTCTACAAAGCATTTTTATTATATAAAATGGGAATCTACAGTTAGTGAGAAATAGATGATCATATTTTACCCTAAAACATTTGAACATGCAATATTAAGTCACACTTCAAGGAAAAATATTTTATATAACAATTAAAAGTATAAATCACATTAAGGATTGAGGCACTGCGGTTCGGAAGAGTTCATCTTTCTTCACTGTTATAAAGTCAATTATGTGGATCAAATAATCTTTGATTATCAACCATTTGAAGATATGATTTCACTTACTGTGCTTTTTTATATGATACTCAAAGCTGTGCAATTTTTTTTTAAATATCAGTTGTGGTTAAAATGGTGTGATTTGGTGTGGTGGGAGAGAAATGTTTTTCATAAGACTTCTTTAATTTCATAGAGGTGAACATACACAAGTACTAAATACTTGACCTTTTTGAATAAAGGTAGACCTACCTTGAAATCCACAACAAGCCTCTATTCATTTCCATGAGACAATGTTTTCACAAATGTAAGGCAAAACAAATGTTTAGTTGCTTAACAGAACTCATAATTTAAATAATTAAAACTAATTTGTGTTTAAAGCTATTTGCAGATTTATTAGAGAAACAAATACAAATATGCATTTCTACAGAACTGAATTTTTCCAAAATGAGCTTAAAACTTGTTCCACAGTTTTTACTTGTTTATTTATCTATGGTAACCCAAGTATTGGCTTCTGTACCACTTGTAATGAGACAATTGCCCTTCCATTGCAATTATAAAAAACTATTTAAAAAAAAATCCAGCACATACACGTTAAATATTTTTCCTTAAAAAAATAATCTAATCAAAATATTGAATACTTTAGATTTAAACAATATTTTATTTACAAATCTGATTTGATGTACTTTATTAATTACACAAGGTAATGTTTCAATTTTCAAGAACAGTTTTGTTTTGTTTTTAAAATATAGACCAATGGAATGACATCCTATCTAGTAATATGTACTACACTTCAATTTTTTCAAAATTAACATGACAAGTTTTCTAATACTTTTATTTGGGGGAAATGTTTTTTAATTGGGGCACATATCTGATGAAACAAAAACAACATGCAGAATTTCAAAAATAACCTGTTAAAATAATGATACTTACCCTTATGCAAAAAGACATCTATGAACAACAGTGCTTAACTATGTTATGTGCTCATGTTTATGAGGAACCAAGCAGGAGGCAAAATGAGTTCATCCTGTTTTCTAATCATGTGCAATTTCATATGGCTGTTTTCATCATTTAAATAAAGTGTGTACATTAAATTTATAAGACTGCATTGCACTCAGAATTATTATGGATAGCCATGCTTGCCCTGTATTTAATGAGTGATGAGTTTCTACTAACAGAGTAACTGGT